TGCATCGAATGTACTCCAAGCATCGTTTCAAGCCTCGGTCTTCAGGCAGTTTTTGAGCGACCGGACCCCAAGCTTTAAACCCTAAACCTGCACCTTGTCCCAGTCAAGCGCCGAAGGGACGAGCTTACTGCTTCTTCCCGTCACCATGATGCAGCCAGCAAAGTGGAACAAGCAGACCTGGAAGAGCTTGCAGCTTGCACGTGAGAACTTCCGAGTGCCAGACGTTCCAACGACAGCCTAATGATGAGGACCAAACCTCAGCAGGGAGAGAGTCTGTTGGTCTCAGTCCGTAAACAAGAAAGCCGTGCAGCACACTTAGACAACCTTACCGTCATGAGAACCGTCGTCGAACCTGTCGGCATCCTTGTCAAACCCTTGATTTGATAAGCACCTGCAAGAAACCCGAAAATCCTGCACCCTAAACCCGAATAAGCTACTACGAGAATCCCTAAAACCCTAAACCCTAAGCTCCTTACCTCGTTTGAAACAAGCCGTCCTTGACAGTCCTTGCGAGGCTCCGGCACGGAGCCAACCGTCGCTTTCGCCTTGCCGGTCGCGGAACCTGAGCAGGAGAAAACAAAAAAAACACCCACCATACTTAAAGGATCATGGGACTTGGTAACGAGGGTTACAATTAGGGCAACTATACTTATAACCCCAATTCAGGTACTTATAACCGTACTTGCAAAGTCCCATGATCCTCCAACAAGGGGCCTGGAGAGGTGCAAAATGGATGGGGAATTTGGGGTATGTTATGCAGAATCGCATGGGGACTTACGAGGGTATAATGTTGTGATGCTAGATGTCGGATATTGCACATGACAGACGAACTATGGGAAGATCCATGTCTTTGCAGGTACCATGAGCCTTTCAGTACACCCTACACCCTAGACCCTTGGAGGGAGCCCCATTGTAGAGCCCTGCAAAGTACCCTTAAAAGGGAGACCACAAACCCTTGAGTCGGTGTCACGCTGGGCACATGGAGGTTCGCCTCATCCTGGGAACATACCTCTTGCTTGGGAGGCGTGGAAAGCCCCATAAAAAACCCCACCGAAAGCCAGGATAGGGGCCTTGATATTGAGAATGGGGTTTTGGGTACATTACACTATAACCATATTAAGGAACCCCCCGCAATAGTATTCTTCTTCAGGTGCAAAGTCGTACCGCATACAAAACAAAAGTATTGGAACTCAGTTAGGCCCCTCTATTCGGGTGGTTGTCAATATTATGTTCCAGTTTTGGGTACCCTAAACATTAGGCCGTATTATAATAAGGACCCAAAAAGGAACCCTAATTTTGGCCACTACCCGTTTGAAGAATCGGGCGCCCAAAGCCGCGCACTGAGAGGTTCAGCGAAGCCCTATGCCGAGGCAGCGACTCGTCTTGGGGCAAACCTGGCAGAAACATCGAAGTTAGCTGTTTAGGGGCTCAGGGTCCTTGGGGTTTTGGTTTCAGGGTTGAAGGGATTTGCGGGTTTAGGGGTTTGGGAATTTGGGGTCCTCCGAGAACACCACAAAACAAAAACTCGAAAGGCCAGGATCACGGGAAGGGACCTTCACCCTAAACCCTGATAGCCGAATTCATCAGGGAGGTGATCCCTGCACGGCGCGCCTCGGTCGGGAAGGCAAGGCGCATGTCCTGCACGAGGCTCTGCCAAGCCAAGCTACTCTTCAGGGACTACCTCTTTACACCATGGCAGCATTGACGCTTTTGTCTGTTCGTGCGCGTGTGTCTGGTTTTTCACAGGGCAGGTGACTGCAGAGACAAATCTCTGCGGCCCGGCTGGGTCCTTCTTCCCGCGCCGGAAGGGCGAGAACTCCGAATCATCCTCCGAGTCACACGGCACGCAACGCTGCAGGCAGACATCACACGTGGACACACAGCACGTTGACATCTATTGCAGCAGTAGCACTTCTTGAGTATACTCACGCATATGTACGTGTATGCGATATCAACGCAACTCTCGCCAATCATTCAAAACGATGCTGCCACTCTACAATGCTTCGTAAGTCAAAGAGAGGTATAGCCCTGACTACAACCTGCTTATCAAGGGACCTTCGTCCTTTATGAGTAAGTATCGCTGCAGGCACTCGCACGTGCCTCCATGTTGCGCCGAGGGACACCTACGATGGAGTCTGGCAGTCATGTAAAGTCCTGCTAAAGAAGCCCCTGCATTCTTCTTCGGGTTCTGTCCATGGATCCTACTATAACTGTCCTCTTTGAGTTCCCTCATTCTTGATTGCAGCAGAAACGGGGCCGACAGCCCTTCCGAGCCATGCAGATCTGTAGTTCAGCGGTTCAGGGACGACCCTAAACCCTAAACCCCCCCGCCTCCACAGCGTGATGTGCCGGCCTGGAGGTCGCATCGAAACCCTCAGGACCCCACGCCCTGAACCCTAAGCCCTACAAGCTACAAGCCCGAAGCACCCCCAAAAGTGTAGACTTTCAGTTCCATAAGAGATCACATTATCCCAAAAAGTGTAAAGTGCGCTCACTCAGCTACTAAGCAGAATGCAAGATGCCATCGCAGGCCCGGGTACAGGGAGACGGCATCTCCTTTTAGCAGCAGTTGCTATTTATGTGGGGCTTTTCGAGAATATGGGGACACCAACATAGTGCACTAAATAGTAGGACCCTTGCTATAAGGAGAACAAAATAAGGTACCCCGCCCCCTCCCGATCGTCAGAAACACCAGTTGTGTCATCTGCCTGAGCAGCTCTGGCCTCTAAGCCCCCAAACCCGGAAACCTGTAACCTTCAAATTCTGAGCCTGGAGCCCTTCGCCCCTGAACTCAAAGGCCCTAAACTCTCAAGCCCTAAACCCCCTAAACACTGAACCCTAACGGCCCTAAAACAGTTGCTGCAGATCTTTCCGATGCGTGCCACCGCGTCGTTTTCAAAGGAAGAGGTAGCTGGGTGCGACGGCTGTCAAGACTAAACCCTGGAAGCCGTGTAAGCCCCAAAAGTCCTAAACCCCTGAAGCCTTAAAACCCCTAGAACACAATCTCGTAAGCACATAGATGATGAGTCAGTAAACGCCCAAAACTTTGTCGGATATCGCGCCTGCGTAGGCAAGTTCATGGTGGCAGGGGCCCCCTGTCCACACACTCAAGCACACGCCAAGAGCACGTAGCAACTCCAACAACATGTGGGATTCTGAAAATGTCTATGGGGCCTTTTTGGGGGTCCTCATTATGTAGTGAAAAACTCCTATGCTTGATGGCATGGTCAGAACCAATGAAGCTCACCTCACTGCAGCACAACATGCTCTGTCTCGCCAGATACATCTTCGACACTGCGATCTCCGTATGCCATTTATGATTATCTTATTGCTACTATACTATGATTACCACTATTACGGTCATTCTTATGGTTATTATAATTACTATTCATATTTGCATTCTGATGTCACTCCGCCGGTGGTCAGTGCTTTCGTCTGTGCACTCCCTGCGTGGAGAACCTCACCCCTGAGGCTTCCACAGACGCTTTCCCCCAGCTGACTTGCTCCTCTCAGGCTTATCAAGAAAGTTGCATGAACGGCCATGATGTGCTACATCATTTGGAGCAGAATGCATCCGGATGAAGATGTTACATGATGCCACTGAAACTAGCCATCACCGCTTGGTTTGAATAGTTTTAGAACATGTTGAGTATCCTTGCTCCGTAGCTGCATTGCATCAACACACACACATACACACACATCTGACAAGCAAAAACTGGGGATTCGGAAGCGGGAAGCCGGAGCAGCATTGGTTAAGGGTTTACTAGTTTAAGCGTTTAAGGTCTAGAGGAAGAGTCTAAGGGTCTGCAGCTCCTTCGGCCGTCCCTGATCCGACGTAGCAGGGCGCCTGAGCGAACATGGCACCGCGAACTTTTTACCTTTGGTTAGTAGGGAATAACAGAATGGTAGTAGTAGTAGTAGTAGTAGTAGTAGTAGTAGTAGTAGTAGTAGTAGTAGTAGTAGTAGTACTAGTAGTAGTAGTAGTAGTAGTAGTAGTAGTAGTAGTAGTAGTAGTAGTAGTAGTAGTAGTAGTAGTAGTAGTAGTAGTAGTAGTAGTAGTAGTTATAATCGTACCCCATTCCTCCCTTCCCTACTAACCACAGGTAAAACTTCTACCACTCCCATGCCTAAACGGTAGTGGCCTTGGACAGACTGCTGATCACCCTGAGCTGTTATGATACAGTTGTCGAAAGTCAACGCCTCCGCAGACACAATGGCGCCTGGGCGTTGGTGTAGACGAACGTTCCATTCGTTCGTAAGCATCTCGCAGTTGCTTCACCTGACAGGAATCGAGACAATAGCCACGGAATCTTGCACCTACTTGTCGGGTATCACGGGGAACTAAAGGTTAACCTTTTTGGTTATATAGGGGTTATATACGGACCATACTACGCAACAAAAGTTAAAGGTTACTTACTCTACTACTAGGTGCATGACACCGATCAGAAGTGAGCAAGCATGCAGTCGCACATAAGCAGCTTCAGAAGCAAGGGCCTGTAGAACAGGGTGTGGGGGTATACTATACTTTGAACATGAAGGTGTAGATAGAGGGACTAGTAAGAGGGCCGAAGGACTTTTGGAAATCGGTCAGGGCCCCTGAAGGGTTAGTGGAACTCCTTCATTGCAAAGGCTAACCGGATGGGGCTGAAGGATTCTTGGAAATCATTCACAGCCCAACTGGTGCGAAGCATAACTATGTAAGGACTACAAGAGGGCATCAATTCATATTCAGGCCATCATATTGTGAAAAGTAGTGCTAGGCCAGAAAGACCAGACTCATAGAAGTATACGCGGGGACATAGTTCCTGAATATACTGCTGACGTATCAGACTACAAAAGAAATCATGCGTTATAGAAGGACTCTCAGGGAATAGTCTTACTAACAATTCTGGCCCCTGGCCTAAACCCCTAACCCTATGTCATGCCATATGCTATGCTGAACCCGAATCCCTAAAACCCTAAGCCCTAAACCCTAGAACCGTAAAGCCCCAACCCTAGCCCTATGTTCCGAGAAGTAATGCTGACGAGGAGACTACTCCAGGAGGAGGCGGCTGCTCCAGCGCCGTTGTTTCCTTGCTACGGGTTTTTTGGGGTTTAGGGCTTGAGGGTTGAGGGTTTAAACTTTCCCTGCGAACGCACAGGTACCGAGGTTTCGTACATATAAATATAAATATACATATATATATATATGCATATATATATATATACTTGTATTTATATTTACACATGTTATATACATACTATGTGCACGCACACCCAGCAAAACCGTATCCGATGCATTATGGCCTCCATGTTACGGTATGTGCCTGTTCCCGAGGCCGCCACCTGGGAAGGCTGTCGCTCAAGAGGAGGCTGTCGCTCGGCAGGAGGCTGACGCTCAAGAGGAGGCTGTCGCTCGGTGGGAGGCTGACGCTCGGGTGTCTCCAAATCCTCGGTGTAAGCAACTCTTCGAGGGCCTGGGGCATTGGGGCTTTAGGATTAGGGGCTGTGCATTTAAGTCTGTTGCGGTCGCTCGAGGACTTGTAGGTTTAGGTGGTGGAAGCTACGGTTAAAAGCGACTCTGCTCCCCAGGGATACCCAAATCCAGCCTCAACAAAACAAATGCAGGCATGCCACGTGGACCTTGCGAAGAAGCCTCTTCTTCTCCTCAGAGAGCTCAGTCTTTTGCCCCAATTCCACCTGGCAGAAGCAGAAAGGGACCGGATGACTTCGTCCATCTCCTATCATCTCCGAAGTAGCCTAATGCTTCGAAAGTTCGACTGACAATAACGTTTACAAAAACCCGGGCCTCCAACTTGGTGCTGAGAGTCTGCACCTCTTCTGTTCTCGATCGCACCTCCGCCTGAACAGGAGATGGAGAAGCAGCGGTCCAACTCTGCGCGTTGACCTTCCTAACTCTCGCGTTGACAGTCTTGACTTGGGATGAGGGTCAGGAGGATTCACGACCTGGACCTCAATGGGCAAAGGAACTCCGCTTCAGGTGCAGCCACAAAAACCAACGAGTCCAGGACACAACAGTGGACTGCATGAGGCACAGCAAACTGGGAGCCCAGGACTCAAGGCGTATGAGGAACCCAAAGCAAGTATTGGCAAAACAACAGCTCTGGCTGCATGAGGCAATCTAAACAAGAGCCCCAAAGGCACGTGCCTGAAGCTTCTCTTTCTCTGATGCGGAGGCCTGCGAGCATCAGCATTTTTGTCCGACACTTTCGCATTCTAGTAATTAGCCTCGGGTTTCGGGCTCTTTCAACTCAGAAGGGATGTCTCATACAACCAACTGTTATTCGAACTATGTATTGGCACAGCTGCTTATTTCCTGCATCAGTGCGACATGTCCGCCAGAGAACGAATCCGATTTCTCGTCCGACTGCCGCACTTTGTAAAATCGAATCAACATTTATCCAGGGCCGTTCCAATACCCCTAAGATCTAGCACAGAAATGCCCTAAAATCTGCTCAGCGCCTGGCCTGAACCCTGATAAGCCTACTACCTGCGCCCTGAACCCCAGCAAGCCCATCTCTGCCTGCAGGCGCTTCTGGAGGTCGCTGTTGGCTTCGCTCAGTTCGTTCTTGTGATCTCGAGTGACCTACATGCGACAGTTCATCTGGCAAGCTACGAAAGCCCTAAAATCCGAAACAATAAACACACCCTCCAACAACAGTGGTGTAGGGCTGTTAAGACCTATGCTCATAATATCATGTTGCTGTGGTGTGGATTACCAAGAGGGGCCAGAATTTTGGCTTCCACTTGGACAGCCACACACCCCTAAGCCGTGCATATCAGTAAGAGTGCCGAGCCCAGAAAGCTTTGACCTCTAAACCCTTGCCTAGAATCTAGAAACCGGCCCTTCTGAGCCCCCAAAACAAGAGCTCTTCTTCCAATAGCCCATGGCCCTTCAGTCTCGTAGTCGTCGCCATTCGTTGGGCTGGTGGTGCCTCTTGTTAAACAGGCTTCCTGTCAAAGGTGACGCATTCTCTGAGTAGTTCTCTGAAGTGCTGCCAAATCCTGCCTTGCCTAAACCCAGTATCCCCAGCTTTTGTGAAGCCCTAAACCTTACATCCTCAACCGCCTCAACCCACCCAACCTAGACCCTGTAGCCCCTATGGGACCCTAAACCCGAAACCCTCAAAGCCCTCAAAACCCTGAAAACCTCACTTCTGCACGGTCACCTTCAGCTCGGCCATTTGCTCCCGACTCTTGGCCTGGCCCGAGTCTCAAGCTTAGGAGCTTCAGAGGGGTTTAGGGACGACTAGGATTGAAAGGGTGCAGGGTAATAGAGGGGCTTAGAATAGGGTTCCTTGAAAGGGCCCTAAGGGTTTCAGCTTCAGGGGTTTAGGGACTTATAGGGTTGACGATGTCGGGTTTCGGAAGGCCTCAAGGTTGCAGGTTTAGGGGTGTATGATTTCGGGTTTAAGGTTTAGGGCTCGAGGCTTACAGTGCGTGGTTTAGGGCTTAAGGCTCCAGGGTTTCCGGTTTGGGGTCTTTGTCGCAGCGCTATTTAAGACTGATGGCAAATGGCAATGCATGGATGCACGGCTTCGGTGGGGCTTCCAGACTTCGGGTTCGTTTATCGTTCTCTTCTTTTTTTGGGGGGGGTCTGTGAGGGCCGTATGGGATTGTAGAGGGTGCTTCAGGTTGTTGCAGGCTTGACTCGGGGTTTCCAATGCACTCTATTGCACCGAGTTTGGGTAACGTTGACTTCGTCAAGAGCCACGTGCAGCGTGGACGCTGCATATCCTGTTTGCCCTAGGCCCCTAGGCCTGCGCGCGCCTCGCGGGCCCATTCGCTGTGCTTGCGTGTGCACGTGCCACGTTGTTTCTGGAAGACAACGAAACCCTGAACTCTAAACCCGTAAGCCCTGCAGAAAGGACTGTTGCGGTGGAGTTTTCGCGCAAACCCTAACCTCTGAAACCCTAAGTCCAAAACCAGGCGCTGAGAAAGTCATTCCCGTGGAGGCCTCCAAACTCACGAAGCTCTCCTCCAGCTGCGAGTATCTCCGCCTGTCGCAGTCGCTCTGCCTCGCACAGCTTCTGCTTTTAAAAGGCTTTCAGTCAGCCGAAACCAGAGGCACGCAAACCCTAAATCATAATCCTTTAGCTTCAAGGCTTCCGGCATCCCCTGCGTGGGTTCTTAAGACCTGGAGGAGCCGCTCTGCGGCTTGGCACCAAAAGTACGTGGAGTAATGGCCATTTATAGGTGTTGGGCCATTATTTTACCTTCTTTTTTGGGGGTTTAGGAAACTATAACCTGGTTCAGGGTCTACGGTTCCGGGAGCCCAGATCAAAAATAGAAAACGTGAAGAACCCTGATGCAGCATGCGGCGCTCAAGTTACCTTTAGGGTGTAGAACCTTTTAAACTCAGATTCCAGAAACCCTATAAGCCCTAAACCCCAAATCCTAAACCTCATAAGCCCTAAACCCTAAACCTCAAGAAGCGTCGTCCAGGTCTCATGAAGGATATGCTGGTTTCCGAAAATTCGGCGTACCTAATTTGGGGGTCCTTCTAAAAGGATTCTACTCTTTAGGGTACTATATCAGGGTCCCCTAGTTTCGACAACTCCCGTATGGGGTGCCTCTTTTCATCCCTGCAAGAGGACAATTAAACAACCTAGGAAACCCCAAACCCTAAACCCTACCAAACCCTATGAATGCACTTTTGAATCCGTAAATCCTGGGTTATGAAAGAACAGCGCTTATCACAGAACCCTTGACAGAAACCATAAGCTATGGTCCAACAATTAAGCCATCCCCACATCAGTAGGATACCTTTAGGGGCCTTAATTCTATACCCTTAATATAGCTACTATATAGCCCATTATAGGGTAGGGGTCCCCATTAAGGGTCCCTCCTTCTCCCCTTTGATTTAGGGGCCTTGATCATGAGACTTGGGTTCCTTAGTGGAGCAAAGGGTGACTAGTTACGTGTAAGACGAACGAGGTGGTTCCTCTTTCAAGGGCCACTGCCTATCCTCAGAAGAACCAAAAGTTTCCTTTAAAGGAACTCCTGCTACATATCATCAGGAGCATATATATATATATATATATATATAGTATGCATGCACATATGTATATATATGTATATATATATATATATGTATATACATTTCATATTTATACGTATACATACACATACATATACATATATACGTATATATGATTTGTACATACATTCCACTGTGGGTACCGTTTTGCACCTGAGAAGAACTACAAGGCTCAAGGCTCGACCCCCACCTGCGGAGCTTCTCCTCCAAGCTTCGGTTCTCCTGCTTCAGCTGCTCGACCTCTGGGTTTTGGGGATCTAGGGGGTTTTAGGGGGATCTAGGGGGTATAGGGGATTTCGGGGATTAGGGATTTAGGGGATTTAGGGGGTTTGGGGGGGTATATAGGGGATTTAGGGGATTAGGGGTTTAGGGTTCTGCGTGCAGGTGGGCTGCGACTCTCCGGTTTGAGTCGGGGTTGAGGACCTAGAGGGCCTAGGGCCTAGGGGTTTAGGGCTGGTAAGGCTTACAGAGTTTAGGCATGTGGAGGTTTAGGAGCTCAGGGCTTCAGGAGTTGAGGAGGTAGTAAACTACTATGTGGGTGGTTGTCGAAATTATGGTTCCTGTTTGGGCGCCCTAAATATTAGGTGCCGTATTATAATAAGGACCCCAAAAGGGGACCCTAATTTTGACAACCGCCGATGTTGCGTTAACGCCGTGAGCACTTCGAATCGACATGCAGCGTCACGCTCACATAGGACCGACCTGAAGTATCAGCGCTTGCCGGTCTTCCACCTTGGACTGGTCTGTGGGAAATCATCGGTATCAGCAAGACACTTTCTCTGGCGAGGAATAAATATCATTCATCGCTTTGCTTCTCACCAACGACCTGTTTCGCACAGAGGCTAGAGTCTGCTAGAGTCAGCTGGAAGCTTCGTGGCCAAGCAGTCCTACGCAATGTCCAGTACATGTTCAGCACCCGCAGGACCAAACCGCGTGCATGACTAACGCACAGCATGTCTCGGCATCTGGCCAGTCTGTTCTGGTGTTCCAACAACTGCTGGGATGCAGCATAAGCCGTTATCTGGGATTGCTGGTCGACATAGCCATCGCGACTTCCTGGCCACCCCCCAACATCAGGGTCATGCGATATATCAGGGTCATACCTGCAATGTCCCATCCGCGCGACTATGGGCCTTGGGCTGAAGCTGAACTTGTGCGTTGCGGAGATGCCACCTAGGTGACATCAACTCACAACTTCACAGTGGCATGGGAACTTCACAAATTCAGGAGCTTTCTTCTGTACCCTAAACAGCACCACCCTACTTCTGAATTACAAGTGACCTTAACTTGTAAGAACTCCCCACATGCATATGCTCGCGACAACCTGGGCCAGTCATTCGGATCCAAGCCACATAACTCCCGCGCACAGGGCTTGAAGTGCCAGTTTCAACAGCAGTCCTGGAGGGAGATAAGGGAGTACAGAGGGAGCTTCTGCAGACTGGGTACCTTTTGGCCAAACATTTCTAAGGCACATTGTACCACCTGCCACAGAGAGGTCCTCCCGTGGATGTACTCGTCGCTCTTGTGCCTCCCTTCGTCCTGACGAGTCCAGTGGAACAACACGACCTACCAGTCGTTTCTTAGGGAGTACAAAAACCAAAAATTAAAGAATACATCTAAGCACCCCTAAGAAAATCAGAAAAAGCCCCGAAGGCTAAATCATGATTGAAGGTTTCAGGGCTTAGAGCTTCCGCTTGTGGCTTATACTAGGCTGTTCATAAAATAGGAACCCAGAAACCTGAAAGTAAAAAAGTGTACCACTGAACAGCCTGGTATATCTAAAGCCTTAACCCTAAAAACCAAAACCATTCCCCGGTCCCCCAGTTATAGCCAAGCTGACTGCAACGCCAAGCCAAAAACCCCAAAACCCATAAAGCCCCAAGCTTGCACGCTAAGCCCTTGAACCCCCAAACCCGGAACGCGAATGTAGGGGCCTTAATAGTTAGAACAGAGCTTCGGGGTGCACACTTTAAGGCTAAACGCTCTTAAAGGTAAGGGTACTAATTATAGGCTACCTTTAAAGGGAACTCCCATTCTAGGGCCCCATTTCAGGGTACTAATTACAGGCTTCCTTTAAAGGGACCCCTATTCTAGAGCCCCATTTTCATACCCCCCAAAAGCAAGAGCTCCCTGCCACAGCCTGGGATGCGGAGCCCGGCCTGAGGGCCCAGCTTCTGGTCTTCTTATGCAGGCTGAAATATGCAACTTAAAGACTACCTTTAAAAAGGATTCCTTATTAATTATAGTTGCCATATATACACACATAATTATATATATATATGTATATATATATATATATAGAGAGAGAGAGAGTTCCCAAAAAAGGTAGGTAGAGCTTCAAGAGCTTGGGATCCTTTCAACGGCTTCGGCTGGGTGACAAGAACCAGGCATCTGCCCCTGTAAACCCAAACCCTTAAACCCTAAACCCCTAAACCCTAAACCCTTAGACCCCTAAACCCTCATACGGGTGGTTGTCAAAATTACTGTCCCTTTTGGGTCCTTATTATCATACGGCACCTAATATTTAGGGTGCCCCAAAAGAGACCATAATTTTGACAACCACCCATAGAAGAGGGTTACTTGGAGGATCATGGGACTTAGTAATTAGGGTTACTATTCGGGTAACTATTCTTCTAGCTACTTATAACCATGCAGGCAGCCGAAAAGATCCTTGGGGTCGAGCCCCTGCAGAACCCAGCAACTTACCTTTGGTTAGTAGGGAATGGAAGAATGGCAGTACTACTAGTTCTAATTGTACCCCTTTCCTCCATTCCCTGCTTACCAAAGGTAAAGATCCCTGTAAGGAACCCTAAACCCCTATAGATCCCTTTAAAGGAACCCTATAGCTCCCTTTAAAGGAGCCCTCCATTCCCTCCTAACCAAAGGTAAGGCAAAAGCACGGCGACGGTCTTCGATCGCGCTGAGCCCGAAGCGAAAGGCGCCGGCTCTCTCGCGGATCATAGCCTGCTTGAACTAAGGAATGAATTCAGGGGCCTTAATAATTAGAATAAGGCTTTGGGGTTCCTTCGTTTAGTTTTTTAGTATAATATAATATACCCCAAACCCTATTCTGATTTCTAAGGCCGCTACATTAGGAGCATCTTCCTCAAGGGGAGCGCAACTTTCAACAGGAGGGCCTATGGTTACTTTGCTGAGCTCACAAACACAACACCAGCCAAGGAACAAACCTTAGACTAGTTGAGGCTCAAGATATCTTCCCGACATTCCTTATAATCACAGGATGTTGGACTCGTGGACCGCTACAATGCAAGGGCGTCATTAGACTAGGGTTTGGGGGCATATGATACTGATAAAATTATAGGAAGGAACCCACCCCATGTAGTCCCCAGGCTTCCAGAGAGTAAAGCCCAGGTCTGAGGGGATGGCCTTCCAACTGCTCCACACAGATTCCCGGAAACCACCCTGTGGTCTCTTCGCCTTCCTGCGAGAAGCCGCTCATTGCCACACAACTCGCCGCGAGATGTGAATGGAATGGTGTAGGGTTTAGGTGTTAGGGTTTACCAGTTCGCGTCATCGCGCGGAGCGATTCCGACCGGAAGCTGCGTTGCTCCAAACCCGGACTGTCGCACAGGCAAACAAGGAAGCCACTACTCCAACTCTGCTTCAGGTCCTTGTGTCCTCCCCACCAGCCAGTCTCATCCTGAACTGCAGATTACGCTTCGGGCTTAGGGGTCTCGTCTCTGGACTTGGTCTGTACAGCAGGCACTGCCAGATCGGTAAAAACCCAAGTTGGAAGATAGGGTCGATGGAGGCTGCAGCATACACCGGACAATGGCTGGACGAGGGGCCTTTTCCATCACGATGACAATGTCACCGACCTTGCTCATTTGCAAAGTCGAAGGGACGCAGCCGCAGACCCAAAGACGGAGGTCAAAGCAGGCGCACCTTGAGCGTCAGCTGGTCTCCGTCGGTTGCATCGTGCTTCTTTACGACGACTGTCCGAATCAACCTCGCTGCAGCGGGGTCTCGGAACCGTCTTAGACCGTAGGGGCCTGAGATCCCTGCTCGCATTGTGCCTCAGACCTCGCAAGGAACACAGCTTGCCAGGCCACGCGTTGGTGCGTGCAGCTGCAGTAGGTCAGTAAGACCGGCACCAGTATGGATCCGGATCCACCATGGTCGCAGCTCTGTTGGGTCGCTCTACTGTGTTGAAACGAAGAGATGCTCCACTTCTAAGTACGTACCAAATTCTGGCGTCGCGCCGGTAGCGAGATAGTGCATGGAAGTCGCTGAACTACAGAACTCGCTGCAGCAGTTGCAGTCATTTCTCCAGTTCTCAAGAGCATTCTCAGCAGGCTTGGATTCGCTCGAGCTAAATCAGCGAGGCATTGTGCAAGAACGCGACTGACTTGCATTGGCTGAGTCGGGATCAAGGCGGAAGGCGCTACAACGGACTCAAAAACAGCAATTGGAAGATGGCCCCCCTTTCTTTTCTAGTCGGAGTCCGAATCGATGCCCAAAGTGGAGGCAAGGCGAAGGGCGACTTCCTGGCAGGCAGTAAGCAAAAACCCTGACAACTCCCCATCTCAGAGGCCAACATGCCGGGAGAGCGCACGCGCGCTCTTTGCGAGCGGCATGATCCTCCATGTTTCGGATGTCCTTCATCTCTCCGGCCAACTTCTCAAACTCCTGATGCACTTTTCTTCCAGCAAACCGCAAAGGCTCTGAGCGCGAAGACAGAAATGTGGAGTGCAGCTGCTTCAAATTCTGGGTGAAGATCGGCTCCTCTGCAGCATCAAACTCGTCGTCTTGGGCTTCAAGAGCCTGGCTTTTCGTTTGATGCGTGATGAGCACAGCCGATGCCGAAGTGGATGCCTCCCTGCATGACCCCTCCCTTTTGCAAACACTTTGGCATAGTTGCACCTGGTATCCGCTCTTGCCGGCTTCAGCATCAGCGCTTCCGTGAGGATCTGCAGAATCGCCGATCGCGTCGAGTCCAGGTGCTTGCTCGACGGCGGCGGGCCTGCCCATCGGCTGCGCCCGAAAAGCGAGTGGCTAGTTAGTACAGTGCTAACAAAGCCCTCCCCTTGAATGAGGATTGCCATGAGGATCCTAGTACCAAGAGGCTATTAAGGACAATGAGTGTGGCATCAAGGCCTGGATTGCTCATCGACTGTCCGCTGAGTTGAGCGGGCCTCACACACCGAGCATGAACATCACAACCACAACCGCATCCTTCAGCTGGGATGGACTCACCCGCACGCCTTTGGCTCGAGACCCGTCCACGACGCATGGCATTCCAGGGCCTGCACAGACTCTCACGTTAAAGCCATCTGTGCGGTGTCGGCAGCCTCGTTTGCAGGTACCATGTGGGTCTCCATGACTCCATACTTAACGCATTCGAAGCCCCTCAGACGAACAATCAGAAGATACAGGAACCGGTTGTCAAGCTAGCGAACCCCCACCCTTCCCCAATAAGCGGCACCCCCCACGTGTAAGAAATCCCCAGGACCATTCCAAGACGTCTTGCGCTGGCTACGGATTCAGAGAATCGGATCAAGCTTGAAGGCTTAGTCTAAGTTAGTGCTTCAGGGTTTAGGGTTTAGGGATGTAAGATTTCTTTAGGGATGGCTCAGAGCTTCAGAGGTTTGGGAGACTTTTGAGCCGTATTCCCCAGAGAGCGAGCGAAAGGCAGAGAGAGCAGACACAGACAAAAACCAAAAGATTAGGGTTTCGTGTTTTGGGCCGTACTGTTCGGGGTTGGCGGTCGAGGGTGCGCCCGCGCAGGCAAACCCAGTGAGAGAAGCGCATGGGGAGAAACCTGTCAAGCGAGGTGCGGCCGCCATCAAGAAAGAAGCCAGTCTCCATGTTCTAAAGCAAGATAAGCAGAAACGAAGGAGGGCACAAAGAAGCCACAACAACACAGTAAGGAAACAAGGTCTAAACGATGACACAAGGAGCGCTACGAAAAAAATGCCACAAAGCATGGGGCCTCGAGTACCCTGATCACAGTGCCGTCGCTCTCATCCGACAGCAAGCCCAGTGGCCTGCTCAGTCGCTCTAAATGCCTTGTGGGAGGAACTAAACCAGCACAATAATTCTAGAAGTACTAATACTAGCAGTCATAGTCATATCAATATCAATGTCAATATCGAGAGCAATACTCATAACCATAATAGTACAACGAGTGACGTGGGCCAGGCCTACCCTGGCGAGCTCCTCCGGCCATCGCAGTCTTCGCATGTCTTCCCGTCAAGAAAAGTCACACCAATGAAAGGCAAGCAATGTCTGGCTGAGGAAAGAAGCATAGTCCCGCATACGAGTAAAGCGACCTGCTGACCTGTTCTGACGACCCCTCTTCAGAAATTTTGTCCTTTTCCCGTGGCTCCTTCTACTCGATGTCGGAGAGCTTGGAGGTCGCCCGAACGTAGAGGGCACTGCCTTACACTTAGACACGTAGCGTCCTCTCCAAAACCTGCATATCACTTGAACCATGAAGCCCGGGAAGTCACAAGCAACAGCAAAGGTCTGAGCCCTCTGCAGCATCTCGTATCCATGCTCCAGGCACCAAGACCAGACCTGTCCCAAATCTCAGATTTAGGTCCTTTAGGTTCGGTTCGTTTTAGGGTGTAAGGCTTCCAAGGTTTTGGATTCTTTGAGTCTCATTTTTCCAGGGTTCCGAATGTTACGGTTTTGGGATGCACAAGGCTGTCGAGCGTGCGTAAATGGAAATTACAATAAGGTAGCTAAGCTGTGATCCTGCGAAAACTGCGTCATGGGTTGTGTACATGTTGTCTATATCTATATTAATCTATATCTATATCTATATCTATATCTGTATACTAAATACTATTTTCTGTAAATTTAACTATATGTGGTACAACCAAAGCCCACAACTGAGCTGCTCAGGTAGTACATCCAACATAAACTCTACCATCTGCCTGCGTTCAAGGCTCACGTCCACAAGCGACGTTTCCCTTGTATCCAAAGGACTCCTGCCCTGATTTGCAACACTTCTGAGATCATCAAAAATACAAAACTACAATGCTGAATTTCCAACATTTCACAAATTTGCACAGAATTTTTGAACATCTTGTATATGAGGTCTGCCAGTTTTGAACATTTCGGACATGTCCAAAGTTTCAGTTGTTTTCCCGAATTCCACAACATTCAATTTTCCCCCATTGTGTTTTCGAAAATTCTGTATACGACGGTGGATGGTATAAACTTGTGCCTCTGGTTCCGCTGGTAGCGACAAGCCAACATGCGATAAGCTCCGGAGCCGAAGAAAATTGCCACACAATGCCACACCAGGGTTGGCCTGAAGATAAACCTTGGAGAATCTTCACAGCTGTCGCTCGTCAGAAGGAATAAAATTACCCCTACCCATATACCCAGAACCTTCAACGTTGAACACCTTGCGAAACTCCATTCAACATTGAGGTGTCCCGCCACTTGCCGAGCAGCCACAATGCGCTGCGCGGCTTCCAAGCCGCCCTGCAATGAGAGGGGCCAGCGGGGCCAAAAGCGTGCTCGACTCTTCCTGAACTGGTACAGCTTGCATGACGGTGTCGTAAGTACGTGCGTCATGGTTTCGACCGGTATGAATTCTGTATCCTCCGGTTGATCAGGACCACTAAGTCTGGAGTCTGGATGGCTCGAGATTCAAGACTTTGGACAGTAGACCCTCTGCTAGCTTCAATTTGCCTAGCATCCTCAACTCCTCAACCCCTTGCTTCCCGCGGGATGAGCCGATCAAATCGGACGTCCCTGACATTTCAGGGGAGCTTGCGCGCTACGCATGCCATAACATCAATGGCTTCGAAGTGTAGGTTCTTGGCTGCAGATCGAACTGGTGGAGTGATCTTGGACAAATACAGGTGAGCTTGTTGGGTTTCAGATTTGGATTCTGGGTTGATTGGACTTTGTGACAAATAAATGGGCTTTTCGGTGCGAAGATGCACTTGATTTTGCTATTCTGTAAAGCTTTGGGCCGGGAGCTGTCGGACTCCCAGTTGTCTGATGCTTGGCTAGCGAGTCGGGAGGATTTTTGAAAGGCATTGACAGGGCGTGTTTCTGAAACATTTCCGCAAAAGATCCCGATGGGTGTTGCGAGTCTCTGGGCGGACCTGCAAGTGTTCCACATGCAGTGCCCCGGCTTCCTGTGCTGACCGCAGTACTCGAGCGCTTCGCTCAGAACTGAGCTCATTGTTTAAAAATATGTCGACCATCTCGGACCTGAATCGTTTTGCAGGAGCAACGGCCTGCACATCTTCTGCTGCCAAAGATCTTTTGTTGAACATTGCCGGCAAGTCTTGAAGTGAACCCTACAGAACAATTTGTGGAAAGACAAAAATTAATTCATCCACCTGTGAGACATGGGGCCGAGCCTGTCAACACCCGAAAGAAGTCTGCAAGCATTAACGTGTCTATGCATGCATGTGCCTGTGAGGCATGGGGCCGAGCCTGCAGAATCAACACCCACAACAAGTCTGCAAGCATTCACGTGTCTCATAGCTGCAGACGTGCAAGAATAAGCATTGCATGCATCCATTTTCTCTTGTTACCCAGCCGACGAAGGTCGGTGCATCTCCTGCGAAGGAGCTCCACCACAAGGCGGACTTATATTGAAGCAACGCCTAGCCTGCTACCTGCAGATAATATCATCGAGGGTGATGAACTAACTCAAGGCCGGGCCGATCACTCCATCAGGCCATTGACTTTCTTGAGCAAGGCCTTGCTGCCTTTGTCGTGGTTGGCAGCCTGGTCGACGACAGTGTGAAAGGTGGCCACAAGCTCGGTGCAATCGGAAGTAACATCCGCCGGCACATTCTCGGCCTCGTGCTGGCGAAGAACACCCAAGAAGTCCTCGAGAGCTGCGATGGCGTGATCGACGTCGTCCTTGCGATTATCCCATGTTTTGTCCCCGCTGTACTTCGTGGAAATCTTGGTCTTCAAAGACTTGAGCTCCTCGTTGTTTTGGGTCAGCTTTTTCTTCTCGGCCACGATCTTCTTCAAAAGATCTTTCGCCAGGGTATGGCTCTGGCTCGGCTGCAAAGCCGGATCCTTGGAACTGGCGCTTGCCGCACTCTTGCCCAACATGATGTCGAGGGACCTCTTGTCCTTCAACTGCAAGTTCTTCATGCCGGAACAATGGCTTCCCAGGGACTCCTCCGTCTTAGTGGCCTGGCGGGCCACCTGGCCTCTCGAGTGCATGTAGAAGTACTTGCTGAGCACCTCGAACTTGGGGTGAATTTTCGTCGATCTCTCATAGCCGTACCGCTTTTCGGCTTCGGACATCAGCTCTTCCAGCAGATCCTTCTTCATATCTTCCTCCAAGCCGCTTTCATCGATGCCCTCCAGCTTGAAAATTGCCGTCCTGCATGCACTGTGCATGCATGCTCAATAATCATCCGTTCCATAGTCGAAGCCTAGAGAATATAATCATAGAATAGACAATCAAACAAGAGCAAAAATTTGACAAAACTGCCACCGAAAATCCGAGTGTACCAGTTTTTGACGGTATCTTCGTGCTCACTGTTGGTATTCACGGTCGTCTTGACCAAATCGTGTACCCAATTACATTGACGGACGCCGAACTGTGCGACCTTGCTCAATATCTCTCTCTTGGTGGAAATGTCCCCCGCCTCCTACTCCTGCCAAGGAGCACGAGTGGAACGAAAACAAGAATCAAAACAACTGGCACGGAAATGCAAGATGCAGGCGGTCCTCGAGTACTTTTTGAGCGTTTTGTTTCTCTTCGTCCGTAGTTTTTTTAGCTTTGAGCTGATAGCGAAGCCCGGTCAAAGCAGCTGCAATTGTGCCCCGAGCATACCCCAAGCCGCTCAGCGCCGTTGAATCACCCTCTTCCTCGGGATCCCGGAGCTCCACCTTGGCAGCCTTGGCTTTCTTCTTGGGGGTCGTCTTTTCGGCCTTAACCTTAGCACGCGAGGCCTTGGCGGCCTTGCTCTTTGCAGCCATGGCCTTGGCCATCCTGTTCTGCGGACCTTTACCGGCCTTGCTCTGGGCCGGTGCCATCAATCCGGAGGAGGCTACAGGAATGCCACCCGATCAGATTTCGTGAGTTGAGCTCGATCTAAACATTGATTCAGCAGAAAATTCATGCGAAGAGTCGAGGACGGTGGCACACGAGTGCCATGGCATGTTCACTGTTGCACACAGCATGCATAAGTTATTTCATTTTGCAAAGCACCATCGCCTTCGCCGGCAGGTCACAGGTCGTCCAAATCATAATCGTTTTCCCACCAATGCATGTCAGCGCCTAATCTCCTAGCCAAGGAGATGGCACTTCCAGAGACCGAGCGACACTTCAGAAAGTATCTATCATTCCAATAGCCAACATAACGAGTATGCCATTCATACGAGAACTTTTGGAAGCATTGCTCGGAGCAATCAAATGTATCGTACAGAAACCACAGAGCAAATGCACTCAACCGGGTCGTGAAAAGCCTTCTCATCACCTGCAAAGCCAACAACGGCAAATGAAGCACAGGTCGCTGCCTCATGCCTCCCATGCGCCAGCTCAGTTGCTGTTTCATCCACAATCGAGCCTTTGCATGGCAGGGCTGGCCTGCAGAAAGTCAAAACACTGCTGCCGAACTTGAATCCAAGAACCTGGCTGGGTATAGCTGCCGATGCCAATGCGGAGGAGAATGGTCGCTATGCGGATCCGCACCTGGGTCGAGGAAGAGCCCGAAAATTTTTAACAGGCCTTTGTTTAACAATTTTTAACTGTTAAAAAATGGTTTATGAAAGGAATCCCTTCATAAACGAGTTTTTAACAGTTAAACAATTGTTAAAAAAAGCCTGTTAACAATTTTCGGGCGCTAACCAGAATCTATATCTTCACCCCTCACTCCCCACAACAGACCTCAGAGAAAACTGGACACGAATCACAAATGGAACTGGCCTGGGTTCTGATCGTCCATGCTGCGAAGACCTGGCAATCGCTAGACGACATGCATGTGTACACGTGAACATAGAAACTCCTACCCAGGAGCAGGACCACTCCTACCAAGGAGCAACAAACTGCAAACGTGATGCACACCAGCTGGCGACTCCTACCAACAAGCTGCAACCTACGAGCACTGCCGACCCAAACAAAGATGCACACTAGCTGGCGACTCCTGCCAAGGAGCCCTTGTTTTTATCGTCTCGTTGCGGGATCAATCCGCAGACACAATGCTACAGCAGACGCTGCCTCAGCTCAGGTCATCAGAGCCCTCAGGGTCTTGTTCGGGTTCATCTGCAGCCGCCTGCTCTGCCTGAGTTTCCGCTTGATTCTTCTTCAAGCGTTTGTAAGCTTCATCCAAACCAATCACGTGCTCAATGGTTTCGGCGCCTTGCACCATGGATTGGAAGCTCTCCCAGCTATCCACCAAGCCGGGCTCCTCCTGAGCCTCGTCAGGACCCGCATCCACTGCAGCTGGCTCCTCAGCTGCACCACCGTCCCCCTGACGGGCTCCTTGGCCTGCAATCTACTTCGCCTCGGCCTGCAAACAGAATGAACATGTGCTTCATATTGATGTGACAAAAAGTTATAACATATGCACTGAGCA